AAGAAGAATGCTTGCTTCCACGCTGTGGTCTTCCTAATCTTAATCTGCGAACAGAAAAAGATAACTGCATACATCATTCATCAGATCATGTGACCTATTTCCAATTATTTACCCTTGTTTCTCAGCAGTTTTTTCATATTCTTACAACAGAAAGCGACAGCAACACCTATAACAGACCTTCTACTTTTGGTAGCTGAGACGTTATAATAGACAACCGAAGTCACCGCCGTAGGTCTTAACCCTAATGGTAATGTTGTTAGATTGCGTCGAACAACCATTACTTCATACAACATATACGTACAAGAAAACTTTGCATTTCTTTTCGCACTTAAAGTCCAGAAAGTAAGTCCACACTAGTTAATACTCCAACATCATTATTATTTGGACATGGTACATCATGTTCTGTAATAGATGTGTATTTTCCCATACAGGCGCTATCATGACTGTCACACTTGTTTATGTATGGGATAAGCCAACACCTTCTAAATAGTTCTTCGACACGGTGTTAGACAAGCCCATTTTATCCGAGTATACAGCAATCATATTACTCCTCTTTTGACATTTTCAGCACTCAGAAATCTATATTCACCATGATACATCCGACTTCATAATGATGAACATGGAATAGCGCATACTTTTTCCCCCTTACTTATAAATCTTCTAACGTTTGTAATCAGTTTAATGCTTTGCACCTACATGACGTAAGTAAGTTATTTGATTTTTTTTTTTTTTTTTTTTTTCATTTACTGTTCATTTTATAAGGAAAAACTGATTTTACTCATGCTTTTGCAATATATTTTACAAGCATCTTTATTATTAACAATGAAAGAAGAATTAGTTTTACCTACAAAGAAATCATTGCAGAAATATAACTGACTCACAGTTTTGCTTAAATTTTCCGAGAATTTTTGATTGATACCTATTAGAATGAATGTTTCGTAATAGCAGATATAAAATTATAGTTCGAAACACTTTATCAATAAATGACTGTAGAAATATAGCTAGGTAGAAAGGAACATTAAAAAGCCGTATTTTATTCGAAATACTTTATTACGCATCAATTATAATAAAACTGCATTTCAATTAATGTTAATTTCTAGTCTTTTGTTCACAATGTGCACTTCGACAAAATTTCACTACAGCTTCTGATATTATACACAATTAAGAATTATTTTATACTTGGCAAAGTCCACTACAAAGTACGAAATCTGCATGGCGGTATATGTCAATAAACATTTACATTAATTAGAAGGATGACCATTGTTGCCCGTTCATTAATTTTGAACTATAAAGGAAAGGGGGTTCAGTGGTCTATTCAGCGGGGCATGTCATGGTTATTTTAAGGATAGAATTGTGAACAGACTTAATCGAAATTGTCACGGCAACCGTTTTGCCGTGACCAATTTTGTCACGGTGATCGCACGAAACTAGTTGGCCGATTCATCGCATTACAATACATTTCTTACACGAATATCACACAGCACGAAGATAATTAACAGCAAGAAATTTTATTCTCATCCAGATGAGTCTTAAAAGGCCCAATATTACAACAAACCGAACGATACTCTACGAAGTGTCACAATTAAATTATCAATAGCAACCGCCATAGCCTAGAATAATTAAATGCCATATAATATTATCGATTGTTTGGCCTGAAAGTCATACCTCAATGAGAATTTTTAATTCACTTTTCAACGACCGTCAACTATGACTACATAATACTCTGATTCACACAGCTCGTAAAACCTAATGAAATAAACGTCCACTCAATCTGACATTCCACAGATCCAATCTGACACCATCAAAAAAGTAATAATACTTTAAAATCGTACGATGTAATTCGACTACAATCAAGTGAGAAGCTGCATTATATTCCAGCCTATTAATACTGCATCAGATATGACAATACAACCCTCATATTGTTTCCAGCTGCTGCATTCCTTTCCGAAGCAAGTCACCTCAGTGACATTTTTGTAAAGGACCGAAAGAAACGCATCTATAAGTAGTGATTGCGTTTCTCTGAATGTTTCGCTTTCTCGAGATGGAGTCACGCTTCATCTGGAAAATCAAAATTCTAAAAACGTTTTTTATTAAAAAAGATTTGTTTTAATGAAGAGGAAAAATGAGTTAGAAAACAATCATGCAAAGTGAAAACACAAAAAATGCTGGGTTACGTTGCATATATATTTAAATTTAATCTTTGAAGTATCCCGAAAAAAATTACAGTATTTCTTAACGGAAGAGAACACACTAAAGTAAAATTTAAAATAATAGGATTCAAATAATTGTATTTGTTTTACAACAACTGCCAATTATACAAATAACTTCTCAGCGTAGACAAACAAGCTATTAATTTAGCTGTTAAATGAATCCTGAAACTAAGAATCAAGCGAAAAATTTAGATATAATAATTCTAGCAAAATTCTAAGAAAAGTTCCTCTTGTTGCGCTGACGTCTTTTTTATGCAAAATATGCATTTCATACACTTATCACCTTCCCAAATTCTCAAGTGATCAAGCTCCTTTTGTTTCTCCCTATATTACTTCTACAAAATTTTCATTCAACTTTCTTATCAGCATACTATCGTCTACAAAGAAAACGGCACCTTATAGTCATGATAAGAACGGTAAGCAATGCAATATCATTCGCTACATTTTGCTTTATCAGACCTGTCCATCTACATGCTGGGAATTCAATATATTGTTCTACGTACAGTCTTCACATAACACGCACAGGGAATTGGGGTTTGAGATAAACGATATCCTAAAGGAGTTCAGGAAAGAATCGATTACTTTCCTAAGGATTTCGTTACAATTCGGATTACTAGTGGTTGAGTAGATAAGACCCTAGTTATGATGATGCGTAATCTTTCACTTGAAGTTCGATTTCACTAGAAGTCCGATTCGAATCACGGCGCACGTTTCACTAAACGAATGTTTTTGTCATTCCGTTCCCGTGTAACGAAAATACTCACAAATTTCCTCATAGAAAGCCCTCTATTAAAGCATCCGTCCTTTTAATAGCCCTCGTAAGTTTCGTAGCCTAGTAAGTTCAAATAAATAACGACACCTATACATACCAGAAAATGTTTGTGAAACACAGTCTGGCACTTCAAGATTCAAACAATACTCAAAGACAATGTTACCTGTGATTTTCTTAAAGTTCTACAGTGCAGAAATGTAGCTGAGGTACATTATTTCCATCATCATTATTATTTTTCATGTTGATATCTTGAAACAGATTGTGTACGTTGAAGTAGAAACACCGGTGCAGCTTCCAAAATCCAGTACGGGACTTATACGGAAATATTTTTGATGCAATTATGTTACAAAAGTAATACTGGCAATTGATAATTATAGGAGGAAAGGATGAAATGTTTTCCCCCTCATTAAGAAGTATGTCTTTCACTACAATTTCTCTACTTAATCATCCTTTAATGCATTTATGTATTCTTTGCTGAGAATTGTTTGCAGTTATTTTATAGAAGGATTTGTCTTGAGTCTAACACTACTGAACGCCCGCCCCAATAACCTCAACGTGTGAATTCCGTAAATTCTTCATAGTAGGAAACAAATGAGAATTAGACTGGGCCAATCTGGAGCTGATAAGGTGGATGGAGACGTGAGGTGAAGCTACAATCGACAAAAGCATATTGTACAATTGCGGTACGGTGAGGAGATACACTGTCTGGATTAAGACGACTCCTCTCTTAATTCAGTAGGAAACCTGCCAGTGTTTGATGAAATTTCGTACAGTGCTTGTTATTAAACCTCAATTCTATAAAATTTTAATTACCTAGCACCCTTCTTTCCAGTAAGACTCAAAACATTTTAGTCTTCCTTCGTACATAGAAGTCACATTTAATAATCATTTATAAGAACAAGAGCAACAAGTGATAAAATTACTCTTATAAGTTTAGTTTAGTTTAGTTTAGTGACGAAGGACGTGGGCACCATCCCTTTACCGTTATGGTTAATTGGTAATAGCACCACGTCCACCCTTATCTAGAGACTAGTGGGACTACAGGTCATACATTACAGTACTTACGATATCGTACAATATAAATAAACCATACAATTTCCTACATATGCATGATACAGTATATAATCAAACAGGATTATTAAAGCATAATGCTGGTGCGTATACAGTTAAAATGCAAAAGTTAAGATGTAAAATACTAAGTATCGATTTAAGTTATATGACTAAATAATATTATATTATTCATGCATAAAAACCTTAAAAAAATAAAATAAAAAATAAATAAATAAAATTAAAAAAAAAAAAAAAATACAATATCCTACATATGCATGATACAGTATATAATCAAACAGGATTATTAAAACATAATGCTGGTGCGTATACAGTTAAAATGCAAAAGGTTAAAATGCAAAATACTAAGTATCAATTAATTATATGATTAAATATTATTATATTATTCATACATAAAAACCTTCAAAAAAAAAAATAAATAAATAAAAAAATAAATAAATAAATAAAAATAAGTAAATAAATAATGCGCTGTATATATATATATACATAGAATATGCCATACAAAATAATACACATTAGGAGCAGAATGTGGAATATAGGATCATACAAATACAGGATCAAGTCGTGAGGATCATTGAAAAGTACATACTTAATGTGCTTCACAAATTCAGCCATAAGTATCATTCATACAAACGTAAGCATTCTGGAACAACAAAAACCAATAATGGTGTACCCTCATATTTGCTACAATACACTACACTGGTACAGTAATTTCTTATGAAATATTTTACTTTTACATTTCAGAGACACAAAATTTGATAGAATTTGTACTGAGTGACTATTTGAAAGGGTACGTTAAGACTGTGGTAACTAATAAGCAAAGTAAACATATTGTTTTTCATAGGGGGTGCATAAGATACAGTACAATGATCATTTCATTAGATCAGTCCGTTATAAGAATATCACTAAAATCTATAAATGTAGCATTAAACCAGAGTTTACCACGAAGATTATGTACTTTGCATCAATACATTATGCCTATGAATGCTACACCTGGCACAGGTTATTCCAAGACCTTTAACCTTTTCCATAACCTTGTTAATTTTATTAATCAAGTGCCTCTGCTTGATTAGAAATTTGCAAAAGGCTTGACGATTTTGCGAAGGGAATCTGATATGTAAGCCTTCTGTAAGAGGGCATTTTTCAAGGTAATGCTCCGGAGAGCCTAACTCTCCGCAGGTGCAAAAACTGGAATCGCTTATTTTAAATCTCTCAAAATAAAGAGGAAAAGGGCCATGCCCTGAAATATAACGTGTCAGATGGGGATTTCCACAGCATCTATCTTGTGTAATGTAAGAAATATGGTAATAAGTACGACGACCAGTGGTACTATAATCCCATTCTTCTTGCCACTTACTGATTGCTTTGAGACGTAGTGCAGATTTCAAATGTGAATGCGGCCAAGGTATGTGAATTTGTTCAGCAGCAATTCCAAAAGCGGCCTCCTTGGCAAGAGTATCTGCAACTTCGTTTCCATATTCACCCATATGTGCCTTTATCCAAGCTAAGTGGATGTCATGGCGTTGATATTTTCTAAGATCTTGTTGAATATCTCTAATGATTTTGGATGGGTGTTCTGGATTACTAATCGCATAAATAGCTGAAAGGCTATCAGATTTTATAGTAGCCTTTAGGATTTGGTGGGTTAGCAAGTAGCGAATAGCTTGCGCTATTGCTACTGCTTCCCCTTGAAAGACACTGTTATTGTTAGCCAAATGGCCCTTCCATTGTGCAATGACACTATTTTCTTGTAAAACAGCAAATGCGCTCCCCACATTTCCTTCAATTTTAGATCCATCCGTATAAATTACTATACTCGAGGGGCTACGGTATTCTGTAGGCGGGACATGTAGTCTAATGCCAACACCATAATCCGCAGGGTGAATGCTGTCAGATGTTAGTTTGGTTTCATATTCCTCCGAAGTAAAATTTTCTTCAGCAAATGCTATTGGCTTGTGTAGCTGTATTAACATTTGTCGTGCTGCTTCCTCCTCAGTTCTAATATGCAGTGGGAGCAAACCAGCCAAGACATTTATTGCATCAGTGGAAGTAGTAATATATGCCCGAGTTATGCCTAAGGCAAAAGGGCGCTGAATAGTAGAGAGATGCTTGATTTTTCTCCTCTGCATAGGGAGAGCCCAAATTGCTGCAGCATAAGTTACTAACTTTTCTACAACCGTTGTGTATAAGATCTTTTGAATGTGGTGGTTCAAACCCCACTTGTATCCATAAAATTGTCTTAGTTGTTTGGCGATGGCCAGGGTACGCTTTTTAATAGAGAGAAAATGAGGAATCCACGAAGCGAAAGAAAAAAACTTCAAATTCTAAAGAACAAACAGATCATTGATTAGCATTTATGAAAGGATTCACAGCGGATATAGTGCCGCCTCTCGCAGACACCACAATTACACCCTAAATGCCACACGAAATTTATTCAAGTCAAATTTATTTCAGTCTGCCATTTTTCAGTCGCAACTGAAAACAGATGTTCACAAACGAGGAAAGAAAAATACTGTTTGTTTAACTTCTGAAATATAAGCTTAACTAATATGTTAAATTTATGCTGCGCCTTAGCCTCGTTAAATTTTAGTCTCGGAGAAAAGGCAACATTCATCTACCATCTAGAAATATATGCGCAATATAAGCAAGTAAATTTTTCAAATCATTTTACTAGTTTAAATAAATTTTAAATTATATATGACTCTTCAACATTTACACAATTCTAAACTGCATAATTAAATATACATCTGTCTTAATACTACGGTTTTTAGACTATGCTCTTTCTCATTAGATTGCTCAGAAAATTCTTAAGGCAGGCATCTCTCTTCTTAAGCAGATAGTCATAGTATTTATTATATTTTCATAATTCCTTACAATTCTAAGTACACTGCTAGGCTCACTATAGCCTCATAACTTTAGAGTAGACACTTCCAGCGATATTTTTCTCCTTTCTGGTTTGCCTCGTAATCATTGTAACAACTGCTGCGGAAGATAGTCAAGCTGTCTAAATTTGCCAAAATTCCCAAAGACCAGCAATGATAATGATACACATTACAATCTCAATGAGAAGAGTCGCTCCGACACTGAAATGCTCATTTTGAAGTAGCAGACCACAGTATGGGTAATACGTTAAATGCAACCATGGTTAGTTTGGCCAATGAAGGATAACAAAGAAATTACCGATTCTTGCTCCTGTTGTTACTCTTCTTTGGAAAGTCTACAACGAAATGTTCTCGAGCAATATTCTTATAGCACTGAAGTACTATACTCAAAGACTGATCAGTAACACATGATAAATGCAGCGTAGTTAATTGACAAATTAAGAAAAAGCAAGCAGGGAAAAAAAAAAAAAAAAAAAAAGCACAGATTTCCTGAATCCATTGCTTTACTGATTACCTAAGGGGCAGCAAAACTGAATGCACGATGATTAGTGGGCAAATTAAGGAAAACAAGAAAGAGAGCAAGACTATCCTTTTCCTTGGAAAGAGGAATTTTTCAACTACAGTTATATGTATCTATTTTATACGACGAAAACGGTATGAAAAACATTATGCCGTCAAATCCTTTCGTGGGAATATATTATACACCAGATATTCAGCGCGGTTTGAAAAGGGACGTTTCTAGCGTTTTAGTGATTTTTCTCCAGTCATTTAAAAGTACAGCTAAAGGGCTGGGCTGAACGCAATACGTACATCGTCATCAGAATGTCATTCATGTGCATTAAAAGCCAATCGCTATGAAAGCATTATTCTGAAAATCAGAATAATATATTATTTTGATTTAAAGAAATTCGCTTTTAAGTGATCTTAATTTTGGATTTTAAATGTTACCATTATTTATTAAATATCATGTTCTTCGCACTTAAACCACATAAAATTCAATTCAACAGCAGTATCGCAAAATATTTAATAACAGCATATCTTTAGAATTTCCGATAGTCTTGAGCGCTAGAGATTAAATTTTACCTCCTTCCCCCTGTAGTTGTTGTCATTGCTCACTTTGAAATTGTTGAGTTTGTTATCAAAAATTTGTTAAAATTTTAAAAATCTGATATAGATGATAAAACAAATTTGAAATTCAAAATTCGGGCTTTCAGGTGCCCATGTTCGGGTGGAGGATTACGTTTTTCAAAATTTCACGGCTGTAGGTACCGTCGTTTTTTCACAATGCGAGAAACATAACTACATTCATGCATATTCTCCTTTATTTAATTTCTTTTAAAATAAAACAAGGCGGTAATATTTAGTGGTAACAATTTGAAACGTGATTCAACGCAAAATCTCGTTTCGAGACTAATAGCCCTTCTGAACAAAAGTTTCTTTGGGCTAATAATTAACAAGAAATAAAAAAATACAGAAGTAATAGAAATATTTAGGCTAGGATCTAAAGTATCAGTTCAGAGATTTCCACTTCGTACTTTCGTGTTCGAAATTCAAGGTGTTTCAGCTTTTAAAGGAAGTGTTTGGTGTGCATTCTGAAAATCACTAACGTCATTCTGTTTATTACTTCATTCAGCACAGATGAAAAGGTAATTTATTTTCAAATATTAATGATATTCGTTGGAATTATCACTAACAAAACAACAATACAGTTCGTGGAATTTTGGGATTCCATGCAATTCCGTGAAGTGGTTCCGTAAATAAGAATTTTAAATAATTTTTAATACCATGTGGATTACGAAACTATTATGATTAATTAAATAACTTTGTATTTCTAATATTACTATTATTGTTTCTTAATTATGTAAAACAGATTTATCCTAAAATAACACGAAATAGATTCGTTTTTAGGAATAAAATTATAATGGAAAAATTTTATACAGCCAGCATATGACCTCCAGACGATGCCATATCGGCGGAATAGAAACGAGCTTTAAGTAAACTATCACTTCAGGTTGATTGTCTATTAATAAAATCTAATTTATTCCTAATTTTATGGCTCAGTGTTCATTATAAACACTACTCAGTTTTTATTATTCTATTCTCCCATAAAATTAATAATGATATCTACTCATATTCCTATACACATCCGTTCTAATGCTTTGATTGGAAAATATCGCATCGATCGTAGTATATCCCTTGGTCATATCATATTTCGCATTCACAAATCAAGGACTTAAGAATCACAAAAATTTTAAAAGCAGCATATTTTTAGAATTCCCGACAGTGTTAAGCGTCGTCATACATTTCCTTTCATATTCGCTATATTCTTTATATTTGCTATAGTATTTCTTTAAAAATAATACACAGCGATAACATTTGGTGGCAGCTTCCTTTTATTCGAAAAGTAAATCTACACAAAAATGAAACGAACATAAAACTGAGGATTGAGGCAAATACATTTAATTACTTCATAAAGAGAGCTCGTCTTCATAATGAGCTAATTTTCGTTGCATTTAGCATTATCCAAGAATGAATGTTCAATGCAGTTGCAATTGTTCTCAATCACATAAATATTTTAAATACGAAACCTGAGAAGTTTCCGACAAATTTCTTTGAGTAAGTCTACTCAGAGCTTCAAGTAAAGTATCACTTCCGGTTTATCAATTTTTAGCCCAAATCTAATACGTTGTTTTCCATTGATATAAAAGTTTTAAACACTAAAAATGAAAAATTTTGGACTATATTTTAATATAATATGTCATTAAAAACTGTCAGGAGTTTCAATTAGAGTATCACACCCGGCTGTCTATTAAAACTGCTACGGGCTTCAAGTAAATTACCCATTCCGGTTAACCAGTTTTACCCCAAATCTAATCAACTCTTGATATGAATGTAGAAAGTTTAAAAACAGGAAAAAGTTTAATACTAGAGTTACGGCGGACGAAAAAAGTTGTCACGCACATACACACAAACACAGCTACAACATTGCAAAAATAGTAAAAACGTTCTGTAGGAATTCTAATTTGGGCTTATTCACTAAAAACTCCTTATTGAATTTTTGGTCCGAAAACATTACTTCCCTTGCCAACGTATATAGGTTGGCGGGGGATAATTTTTCCCCTCCACATTTTCTTCATAAAGTGCATGCAACATTGATATATTTTCATTGCAATATTAATATTTTCCTTCCTGAGGATCGCACGGGTTCTACCAAAACAGTTACAGTTTCAAATTTCCTCTGAATCAACAACGCTTCTTCAAGATCACTGCTGACGATTCACTGATAACCTCAACGGTTCTTTCTTTACAAAATGGGACATAAATTTTCATTTAACCAGAGTTATGACAGCTGTCTTCATCATCACATAAGTTTGTTAACTCAGATCAGTCCCATAATCTTCTTAACTTTCATGAAGAGTCTTTGGAGATCTTTCAGTGGCATTATTATTCACTTATTTTAACCATAATACTTTTAACACATGATGCGATCAAACATGTACTCGTACATTTTTTTCACTCTGCACATCTGAAGAGAGAAAGCAATCCTTCCCTTTTTCTAAAAACCGCAAAGGGGTTCGTCCCTTTTTCAAGTTGGCGATATAATTCTTAACACGGTTTTAACGAAATTTTCCTTATGTAATAGATTTCTTTATGGCATATAACTTTCTTATATCAGATTATATAAAAGCAGGTTTAATATATATGACAAATTAAAATTATGGCAAGAAAGCTTTAATACCTTTTTTGTTGTATTACCAAAAATTTACAAATATGTCCATTACTGAAGATTTTCTTGATCATTAACGCATATACATGATAGAAAAATTACTTCCACTTGAAACCTAGCAGGGACAAAGCTGGGCACCAGACTTTCAGGCAAAATTCTAAAATTTAGGCAGGCACTGGCCGGCAGAATTAAGAAGCTACAAGGATGGTACATTGACATCATGTTAAGATACCTTTTGAATGATATTAAATAACTAACATATATTTTAATTGATAAATACGATAATTAACCATATTATACAATCTTTATTTCTGAAGACCTGTTTGCAGATCTTTGCTGTTTTCAATAAATAAAAGAATAATAATAATAATAATAATAAAACGATGACTCCGTTTGCCAAATCAGCAAAAATTTTAGCTTCGTAGCATTTAATTATTTTAGTAATAATTAAATGATCTGGAGTGAACATGATCTGCAAAACGGGAAATCCCGGCTTATTAATGCATTGAAATGCCTTGTT